GACTTCCTTGTGAGGTGCTGGGGCTGAAACTCCCTCTATGTGAACCTTCATAAGAGTGTATATCAATCATACCTTAATAAAAAATAAATTAAAAAGTCTATCCTCCCTACCTTCCTTCTTTCCTACCTTCCTTTTTTTCTTCCTTCCACAAAATATTTAATAAGCCAAGATATTGTCATGAATGCTGTGAATTCCGCAATAATTAGCCAACACTTGTTGCCCTCAGGGAACTGCTAATGTACAAACAATAACCAAAACAAGTAAATTATCTATTAGGGAAATTCATAGTGATAGAAAATAGAGATTACAAGGGGTGGGGGAACAGTGAGCAGTGAGACGTTATTGCTTAGTGGGTACACAGTTTCTGCTGGGAGTGATGAAAGTTCTGGAAATAAGGGTGATGGTTGCATGGCACTATGAATGTATTTAATGCCACTAAATTGTATAGTTAAAAATAATTAAAATGGTAAACTTTGTTATATACATTTTACCACAGTTTTTTCAAGTGCAAACACCATAAAATATTCAGTTATATTGTTAAGAGCTTTAGGGAAAAAGAAAACAAGGAGAGCTGGAGAGTATTGAGAATTATAAGATTAACAAGGTCAGTGAGAAGGCAAGGCCTCATTGAGGGGACACTGGGGTTCAAAATGCTTATTAAAACTGAGTTTTTTTCTGTAGAGGTCATGGTTTTTATCACTCGATTTGCTAATATGGTATAAAATACAACTAATTAATTTTTTGTAATGTAGAACCAACTTCTCATTCCTAGAACAAATTCAACTTGGTCAATATATGTTTATATAGATGCATACACAGATGTATTTATAACGTATGTGTTTTACACCCTCAAATTCAGAGTGACACGTTTTTGTTTGGGATCTTTACATTTATGTTCATCTATAAGACTGCCTTTTTTTCTTCTATAAAAGGGCTTATGGTCGTAAATGTCCAGCCCTGAATGTTTGATAGAGTTTACCTATAAAAATGGGCCTGGTGTTTTCTTTGGGGAAAATTTTTTAAACTACTGATTCAATTCTTTCATATTGACAGAAATATTCAGAATTTCTAGGTTTTTCTTCAGTCAGTTTTGGTTATTTACATTGTAGAATATGCACAGTTCATCTAAATTTGAACCCTTGTAGCCATCTTTTTAATCTCTTGTGTCTGTATTCAAGTATACCTTCTTCATCGAACATGATTTACTTGGGTCTTTTAAAAAAATCACTCTTGCCCATCAGTTTTATTAATTTTCTTAACCATATTTTGACTTCATTCATCCTTTCTATTACATCTGTCTTCTCTTTATCATTAATTTCTGCTCTTATATTTAATATTTTCTCCAGCTCATAAGATACCTCCTTCTACTTTTAATATTAAGATTCCTATTTGCAAGTGACAGAAACCCAACTCAAACTAGGACAGGTGGGAAAGAAGGAATTTATAGGCTCATGTAACAGAGAAGTCCAGAGTGGATGAGTACATTAGGCATGAGTTCTAGAAATCTGGCTCCAGCTATCTCTCAAGGGAAGGTGCAGCAGGCTGGGGACAGATACTCCACCAAGTTACTAAGCCAACAGAAAGACATCATTTCCTGATTGTCTTCAGTGGAGCTTCTCAGAGATCCTCTGATTGGTGCAGCTCAGTTAGGGGCCCATTCCTAGACTAGTCACTCTAGCCAGTACTCTGGCCAGACTGGATCTAAGGGGCACAACTATAAATAGATCAGAACTTGAAATTCAAACCCTAGAATGAAAGAGCTGGAAATAAAATGCTGGTACCCAAATTAGGTTACTTAGTGGCTGGGTGGGATTTTCAGTCTTCTTTCCACACTGAAGGAGAATCAGTAGATTTTGTTAAATGTGAAAAGGAACATTTACTGCATGTTAGCCTTCCACACACAGAAATAGCAATCTCTTTAAGTATGTTATCATTAAATAAATGATCATGCAATATCTAAAGAGTCACCCATATTTCCCTGCTGTTGTCATATTCTGTACCTTTGATGGGAGTGTTTGATTTAAAGAATGCTCTTCTTTTGGAAGGACACAATGAGTCAAAAGTAATTTTACATATTTCTCTAATAAAATACAGGTTAAAAAAAAACAAGAAAAGCTTTAAACACTTTATTTCTAATAACATTTATTCAATCAAAATAGTAAATATTAAACCAGCAATACAAAATAATTTTATAAAAATTCTGGCCTTATTTTCCCCTACAACTTATTGTATTTAGTTCTGAGGAAAATATGATTGTATAAGAATAAAGAGAGTGTGTCATCATCAAATATTTAAGGAGAACCAAATTTGTACCAGGCCGGTAGGGCAATTTTCCTGCCCTTTAAAGATTTTCTCCAACATTTGATCAGCAATTAAAAAGTATTCAAATTGATTCCAAATAAAATATTTGGTTTCATCATTTGTTTCCTAAGATATCAAAAATTATTTATCATAAATTGTGGTCATCAAAGTGTTTACATAAGCATCTAGTTACTCTCTCTATAGCACTAGTCAATATTTACTAATACAGCAAGTGTTATTGGAACATTATAACCTATTCAATAGATTCCAGAAGTGCTGTGCTCGTGGTTCAATAGACTTAAAATTCTATTAGTAGTTGTGCTTTAGCTAACTTATTATTGCAACACTTATAACAATAATCCCATGTTAATAAAATTAACATGATTTTTGACTTACTGAGTTATGTGTAATATTTAGATTTCATCTTCTAAAGTCAGCGTTTTCTGAAGTTCCTACCATGAACATGTATTCATTTTATACTAAGAAGAAAGTACTATTTTAATAACAAAGGAATCCTTCCTTGCAATTAGTACCTAAATAGTCATGTGCCATATTGAAGCACTTATACAAAAGAAAGCAGTGTTATTTTTACCAAAAAAACTTTTTAACAATGATACAGAAAAATTGAAGCAAATCCACACTGACTCACTAAACAACTACTAGTTGAAAGCAACCATTACTTTGTCCTCTCACTGAACTGCTGTGAGTGTGATAAAGGTTGGAAAAGCCACCTTCGGGCCTTATGACTTCCTTGTGAGGTGCTGGGGCTGAAACTCCCTCCCAACTCAAAGGCACTCTGCACCAGTACAGCTGTCAGGGAAGCTGCTTCTCTTGTCATTGAGTGCGTTTTTTTTAAGTGTTTGTAATCAGGGTTGCATATATCAATTCAATGTAATACACATTACTTTTTTCATAAATTTACACGATAACCTGAATGATGTTCTGCCATATTTACTCCTATTTTATCAAGAAAAATTGAAAACTACCTCTATTCTATAAGAAAAATAGGAAGGCAGATTTCAAACCAAAATTAGCATCCCTAAGTGGTTTCTCAGAACTCTTTTTCTGGAAACTGGTGTAGGCTTGCAGATCTCTGTCCCCAATAATGGGTAGGAGTAGCATGTTTATTCATGTTCATATAGCACATTATTAAACTGAAAGGGTAATTTAGAGTAATATAATATAGACTGGCCCTTCTTCCACCTTCAAAAGTTATTAAAGCTTGGCTTTGATGTCTGGAGATGTTTTTCATTAGGCACAGAAATAATTATATGGTTGTTAGCTTACAATATCTCAAATATTCCCCAGGAAATTTGCTGAGTGGTATTACTGAAGTAAAGCTCCAAAGGCCTCCAATTTGACTCTCCTTGAATTAGTACACCAGGGAATTCCCTAATTTTTCTTGGTAGTAACAGGAACTAAAAAGAGAAATTCCATAGCTGTCAGATGCTCTACAGATTAAATTGTTTCTGTTTTTGCAATTAAAACCTTGAGATTATAACCAAATGCTTGTTAACTTTGTAAGCTCTGGGAGGAGAGGAGCTGACAAACTTGTGAGCAAATGCTTTTGACTTTTAGACACAGCCATGCCTTGCTATTTGGTGTAGGGAGATAGAAAAGGATCATTTTCCTTTTACCTTACATATGCGTCTGTGCTACATGAATGGCTTTATGACGTTCCTGTTGCTGGCCTTTGTAAAACAATTTAGAATTTAGAATTGTCACCAAGTTGCCTTTAGAAGAATGAGATGCTTGTAATGTTACGTGCTCTAACAAGCTAGTGTATTTTCCAAAAGAGCACAGATACAAGCCCTACTAGAGGTACTTGACCATGACCATCCAACACTCTGGTTAGTTCAATATGGAAAAAACATTTTTCTTTAAAAATCATTTTTAATTCAAGGCTAAGGATGGAATAAAGCATTTGTTAAGAGTGATCTGGGTATTTTGACTGCTCAAAAGCTACTAGCTATGCTAGGAGCTCTTACTCTTTAAAGTCTAAATGCAAAAAGCAATGAGGTCATAGGCTAACCATGCACCCCTATCCTGTGGGTCACCCAGGAGGCTGGGTACAGAGCACTTCTGGCCAAGAGTTTTGGAGTCAGGTCCTGGCATCTCGATTTGCAACTGGCACCCTCTGTTGGTAAATGCAATACAAAGGATAACACCAAGTAAAACACCTCACCTAAATGTAAAATCAAGAGCTGACTCAAAATGGCACATGGAAAATGTGCAGCCTTTCATTGTGAAAATGCCTAATCATGCAACAGCACCAGAGTCTGCATTCCTTTGACAAGGATTTTGTTAGCATATACCATGATAAACAAGGATCTATGGTGGTGGACAGACCGAGGGTAAGAGGATAATTAGATGACATACTTTCCAAGGTTCCTACCAGCTTTAAATTCTGTGATAGGAAAGAAATATGAGGTATAGTTTGCCCCACTGTTGTTCTTATTCCATCATAATTATAACTGTGTGACTTTATTATGAGTTTTCTAAAATTTGCTAACTCCTTTCTCTAGCCACCTAAAGGTTTATACTTTCTTTTTAGAGTCTCATTTTCTATTCTGAATGGATCCATTGCCACAAGGAAGTAAACACCCTCACACTCTTGAATTATCATATGCCCTAGTTGTTACTGGCTCTGCCTATTGTAGTTTTAAATGTATAACTATTCTAAGTAGCTAAGAAACCTGTTTACAGCTTAGCAGTTCTACAGAACAATGTAATAAAGAACATGATAACCACACTCCTTGTATAAACACGTAGATGTTGAAAGATAAGATCTGTAATCACAAGTCTCACTACATTTCTGTCTTCTCTCTTAAATCACGCTGCATCTATTCACCCATCTATCACCACACCTTCTATGCGGCCGCTGAAAGATCCACAACTTCTCCTGTTTCTTCTTCTTTTGTTTCAGCGCCTTCACTAACTTTCTCATTCTCCATCTCTGTTTCAACCTTTTCTCCTGTCTCACCTGGAAAAGTAACCAAAGGAGATATTAAGAGACACTCACTTAGCATTAACAATAAAAGGACCCTCACAGCTTATTTCCAATTTCAGACCTTAGCTCTAAACAGTAAGTTTCTCTTATGATGTCAAGAAAGGCGATTGCCCTGCTTCTCTCAGATCCTCTGAATGGCTGATGTCACTTAACATCACCAAGTCTTAACATTTTCTTATATAAAAAATCAGGGTGCAGAATTATCTAGGACACATCACAGAAAGTTCCATTTATATCTAAATCAAAAGGAAGTCTAGGGGTGCTCAGAGACCTATCTTGTTTGGCCATTATGCTGTTGAAAGAAAACAACTGTTAAGGACTCGGTTAGGGAGATTCAAGATGACGGTGTGAAAGGTGAGGCAGAGAACTCCTCCCCAAACTACAAACAGTATGAAAATATGGTTAGTTAATACAACTAACCCGAAAACAGCAAAAGCAAACAGGCTGAACCAGACGGCACACAGACCTCACAAACAGAGGAGACCTCATGAAACGGGGTAATGTACGAAGGCCTTAATCCAGTGGGACCCAGGCCCTTCCCCCACCCCAGCTCACCGGTGGGAAGAAGAGAAACGGAGCCGGGAGGGGGTGGAGGCCCAGAATTGCTGAACACCCGGCCCAGGAGATGTGCTTTGGGAGAAGAAACCTAAATTGTGTGGCGCTCTGGACGATGGGGAGCTTGGACTGCTGGAGTGCTTGAGAGACAAGATTCCAGCCGTTTGTGGAGAACGGGGGATCCACAACCAGCTGCTCTGGGACAAAGGAAAGGTAGGCAGTCTGAGAGGCTTCCTAGCAGCGAGAGGGCTGCTGAAGGGGCAGGGTTTGCACGGAGCTTGCTGCACAGGGTAGGGGAAAGCTGGACAAGGTTGTCTGGGCACGTTCCGCCTAGCCAGTTGGGAACTTTGAGGAGCTTCAAGTGCCCCATCCTCCTGGCTGGGTACGCAGCTCAGAGGCCCCCCACTGTGACAGGCAGCCTGCTGAGCCTTCCTCCTGGCCTGATAGGACTTGCTTGCAAACCGGCAGTAACTGTGCTGGCATCAGGCCAGCCAGTTGGAGGCCTGGCCTACAACAGCTAGAGACACCAAGCACAGAAGCTTACACCTGTGTGCTCGGCCCACTGGCTCTGACACTGGAGACAGGCACGGCAGATGGGAATCAGGAAACAGATCTGTCCTCCCCCCAGGCACCAGCTCTGCTCCCCTACAGCCCCCAACCTCACTCAGCTGGGAACAAGAGGACATGACAAAGAAATACAAAACGTCAAAAGAACCTGGTTCAGGTTCAGACCAAAATCTCACAAACCCCAGAAAACCGACCAAATGAAACTGAACTCACCAATCTTCCTGAAAGAGAGTTCAATATAAAAATCATAAACATGCTTATGGAGGTACAGAAAAAGATTCAAGAACTCAGGAATGAATTTAAAATGGAGATTCAATCATTAAGAAATTCCATATCTGAAATGAAACATACAATGGAGGGATTTAAAAGCAGACTAGATGTAGTGGAAGAGATGGTAAATGTAACAGAAATTAGAGAAGAGGAATACAAAGAAACTGAGGCACAGAGAGAAAAAAGAAGCTCTAAGAATTAAAGGATATTTAGAAAACTGTGTGACCAATCCAGATGGAACAATATTTGCATTATAGGGGTATCAGAAGAAAAAGAGAGAGAAAAAGAGATAGAAAGTGTCATTGAGGAGGTAATTGCTGAAAACTTCCCCAAACTGGGGAAGGAGATAGTCTTTCAGGCCATGGAGGTGCACAGATCTCCCAACACAAGGGACTCAAGGAAGACAACATCAAGACATATAATAATTAAAATGGCAAAGATCAAGGATAAAGACAGAGAGACTTCTGAAAGCAGCTAGAGAGAGAAAAAAGATCACATCCAAAGAAAAACCTACCAGGCTATCACCAGATTTCACAACAGAAACCTTACAGGTCAGAAGGGAGTGGCATGATATATTTAATGCAATGAAAAAGAAGGGCCTTGAACCAAGAATACTCTACCTGGCAAGGTTATCATTTAAATTTGAAGGAGGGATTAAACAATTTTCAGATAAGCAAAAGTAGAGACAATTTACCTCCCACAAACCACCTCTACAGGGCATTGTGGAGGGACTGCTATAGATGGATGTGTTCATAAGGTTAAATAGCTGTCACCAGAGGAAATAAAAAGGTATAGACAAAGATTACAGAATATGATACCAAACACATAAAGAATATAGGAGGAAAAAAAAAGAACCTTTAGATTGTGTTTGTAATAGCATACTAAGTGAGTTAAATTAGACTGTTAGATAGTAAGACAATTACCCTTGAGCCTTTGGTAACCATGAATCTAAAGCCTGCAATGGCAATAAGTACATGCCTATCGATAATCACCCTAAATGTAAATGGTCTGCATGCACCAATCAAAAGACATACAGTCACTGAATGGATAAAGAAACAAGACCCATTTATATGCTGCCTACAGAGACTTACTTCAAACCCAAAGACATACATAGACTGAATGTAAAGGGATGGAAAAAGATACTTCATGCAACAAATAGGGAGAAAAAAAGCAGCAGTTTCAGTACTTGTATCAGACAAAATAGACTTCAAGACAAAGAAAATAATAAGAGACAAAGAAGGACATTACATAATGATAAAAGGGTCAGTCCAACAAGAGGATATAACTATTATAATTACCTATGCACTCAACACAGGATCACCTATATATGTAACACAAATACTATCAGAATTAAAGGGGGAAATAGAATGCAATGCATTCATTTTAGGAGACTTCAACACACTACTCACTTCAAAGGACAGATGCACCAGACAGAAAATAAGTAAAGAGACAGAGGCACTGAACAAAGTATTAGAAGAGATGGACCTAATGAACATCTACAGAATACTCCATCCAAAAGCAACAGGATACACATTCTTCTCAAGTGCACATGGTGCATTCTGCAGAATAGATCATATATTATGCCACAAAAAGAGCCTCAGTAAATTCAAACAGATTGAAATTGTACCAACCAGCTTCTCAGATCACAAAGGTATGAAACTAGAAATAAATTACACAAAGAAAATGAAAAAGCCCACAAAGACATGGAGGCTTAATAACAAGCTCCTAAATAATCAATGGATCAATGACCAACTAAAAACAGAGCTCAAGCAATATATGGAGACAAATGACAACAATAATTCATTAGGGCTAAATCTGTGGGATGCAGCAAAGGCCGTGCTAAGAGGGAAATATATTGCAATACAGACCTACCTCAGGAAAGAAGAACAATCCCAAATGAATAGTCTAAACTCACAATTAATGAAACTAGAAAAGGAAGAACAAATAAGGCCAAAAGTCAGTAGAAGGATGGACATAAAATAAAGATTAAAGCAGAAATAAATAAAATTGAGAAAAGTAAAACAACAGAAAGAATCAAAGAAAGCAAGAGCTGGTTCTTTGAGAAAATAAACAAAATAGATAAAGCCCTAGCCAGACTTATCAAGAAAAAGAGAGAGTCTACACACATAAACAGAATCAGAAATGAGAAAGGAAAAATCACTATAGACACCACAGAAATACAAAGAATTATGAGAGAATATTATGAAAAGTTATATGGTAACAAACTGGATAACCTAGAAGAAATGGATAACTTTCTAGAAAAATACAACCTTGCAAGGTTGACACAGGAAGAAACAAAAAATCTGAACAGACCACTTACCAGCAAAGAAATTGAATTGGCAATAAAAAAACTACCTAAGAACAAAACTCCTGGACCAGATGGTTTCACTCCTGAATTTTATCAAACATTTAGTGAAGACCTAGTACCTATCCTCCTTAGTTTTCCAAAAAGTAGAACAGGGGTCTATGAGGCCCCTCATATTCATTCTATGAGGCCAGCATCACTCTTAATACCAAAACCAGACAAAGACACCACAAAAAAAGAAAATTAAAAAAAAAGAAAATTACAGACCAATATCCCTGATGAACATAGATGCAAAAATACTCAACAAAAGATTAGCAAACCGAATTCAAAAATACATCAAGAAAATAATCCATCATGATCAACTGGAATTCATCCCAGGGATGCAAGGATGGTACAACATTCAAAAATCCATCAACATCATCCACCACATCAGCAAAAAGAAGGACAAAAAAACCACATGATCATCTCCATAGATGCTGAAAAAGCATTTGACAAAATTCAACATCCATTCATAATAAAAACTCTCAACAAAATGGGTATAGAGGGCAAGGACCTCAACATAATAAAGGCCATATATGACAAACTCACAGCGAACATTACACTTAACAGCGAGAAGCTGGAAGCTTTTCCTTTAAGATTGGGAACAAGACAAGGATGCCCACTCTCCCTCTTGTATTCAACATAGTTCAGGAGGTCCTAGACATGGCAATCAGACAACATAAAGAAATAAAAAGCATCCAGATTGGCAAGGAAGAAGTCAAACTGTCCCTGTTTGCAGATGACATGATATTGCACATGAAAAACCCTAAAGAATCCACTCCAAAACTACTAGATCTAATATCTGAATTCAGCAAAGTTGCAGAACACAAAATTAACACACAGAAATCTGTTGCATTCTTATACACTAATGATGAACCAGCAGAAAGAGAAATCAGGAAAACAACTCCATTCACAATTGCATCAAAAAGAATAAAATACCTAGGAATAAACCTAACCAAAGAAGTGAAAGACCTATACACTGAAAACTACAAGACACTCATGAGAGAAATTAAAGAAGACACCAATAAATGGAAACACATCCTGTGCTCATGGATAGGAAGAATTAATATTGTCAAAATGGCCATCCTGCCTAAAGCAATCTACAGATTCAATGTAATCCCTATCAAAATACTAACAGCATTCTTCAATGAAATAGAGCAAATAGTTCTAAAATTCATATGGAACCACAAAAGACCCCGAATAGCCAAAGCAATCCTGAGAAGAAAGAATATAAAGCAGGGGGAATTACACTCTCTGACTTCAAGCTCTACTACAAAGCCACAGTAATCAAGACAATTTGGTACTGGCACAAAAACAGACCCACAGACCAATGGAAGAGAGAAGAGAGCCCAGATATAAACCCAAGCATATATGGTCAATTAATATATGATAAAGAAGCCATGGACATACAATGGGGAAATGACAGCCTCTTCAACAGCTGGTGTTGGCAAAAGTGGACACCTACATGTAAGAGAATGAAACTGGATCACTGTCCAACCCCATATACAAAAGTAAACTCAAAATGGATCAAAGACCTGAATGTAAGTCATGAAACCATAAAACTCTTAGAAAAAAACATAGGCAAAAATCTCATGGACATAAACATGAGCAACTTCTTCATGAACATATCTCCCTGGGCAAGGGAAACAAAAGCAAAAATGAACAAGTGGGACTATGTCAAACTAAAAAGCTTCTGTACAGCAAATGACACCATCAGTAGAACAAAAAGACATCCTACAGTATTGGAGAATATATTCATAAATGACATATATGATAAGGCATTGACATCCAAATTATATAAAGAGCTCATGCACCTCAACAAACAAAAAGCAAATAAGCCAATTAAAAAATGGGCAGAGCAGCTGAACAGACAGTTACCCAAGAAGAAATTCATATGGCCAACAGGCACATGAAAAGATGCTCCACATTGTTAATCATCAGAGAAATGCAAATTAAAACCACAATGAGATATCACCTCATACCAGTTAGGATGGCCACCATCCAAAAGACAAACAACAAATGTTGGCAAGGCTGTGGAGAAATGAGAACCCTCCTACACTGCTGGTGGGAATGTAAATTAGTTCAACCATTGCGGAAAGCAGTATGGAGGTTCCTCAAAAAACTCAAAATAGAAATACCATTTGACCCAGGAATTCCACTTTTAGGAATTTACCCTAAGAATGCAGCAGCCCAGTTTAAAAAAGACAGATGCACCCCTATGTTTGTCACAGCACTATTTACAATAGCCAAGAAATGGATGCAACCTAAGTGTCCATCGGTAGATGAATGGATAAAGAAGATGTGGTACATATACACAATGGAATATTATTCAGCCATAAGAAGAAAACAAATCCTACCATTTGCAACAACATGGATGAAGCTAGAGGTTATTATGCTCAGTGAAATATGCCAGGTGGAGAAAGACAAGTATCAATGATTTCACTCATCTGTGGAGCATAAGAACAAAGCAAAACTGAAGGAACAAAACAGCAGCAGGCTCACAGAACCCAAGAATGGACTAACAGTTATCAAAGAGAAAGGAATTGGGGAGGATGGGTGGGAAGGGAGTGATAAGGGGGAAAAAGAGTTCATTACAATTAGCATGTATAATGTAGGGTGGGGGACACGGGGAAGGCAGTATAACACAGAGAAGACAAGTAGTGATTCTATTGCATCTTACTACGCTGACGGACAGTGACTGTAAAGGGGTATGTGGTGGGGACTTGATAATAGGGGGAGTCTAGTAACCATTATGTTCATGTAATTGTACATAATGATAACAAAAGAAAAAAAAAGAAAAACAACTGTTGAACATTTAAAGATTGCAAACATTTAAAAGTCTGGACGTTGGACATGCAAATCTGTTTGCCTAAGATGTCAGTTGGGCAACATTGGACCCATGCTCATGGGTGGAACTACAAAGCAGCTGCCTCGTCTGACAAGACTGTGCTCTTGGTGCTAACCATAGTCCCCCGAGGCACATGATGTCCCATGTGCTCCTGACTTCCATTACCGTCATTATCCTAGGCCCTAAAAGACTTGAGTTTGCCAACCCTGACCTAACAAATACATGCTTTCACTTGCTTCTCCCATGTTATCCCTGGGACACCTTTATACACCTTCATTAAAGCATGGATCTCAATAGACTGTGGTAATTTGTTTAAATTCTGCCTTCTTCCCATTGGACTGTGAGTCCCTTGAGAACAAGGACTATCTCTTACTCCATCTGCACCCCATGCCCTGGCATATGATTAGGCCCTCAAAAACTGCTGCATTCATATATGAAAGAATTAAGAAACCAATGGATAAATGCTTCATTTAATTATACTGCAGCGTGAGGCTAAAATTTACCAAAATGTAAATCATGCCCCAAAAGAAATGCTATTTTTTTAAAATTATAACTCCAATAAAGAACAGTATAGATGTCACTTGTTTTATGCTGGTAAAGTACATTTAAAAAAACACCATATGCCAAGACATAATACATTTCCTCTAATCTTCTCATGAAAATAAGAAGACTATAGGAGGACAAGAGCAGACTGACAATAATTCTCTAAGGGTAAGACTGGCAAAAATGACAAGTACACTCCATTGTTTGTGCACTGTTGCACAGCAAGTCAGTTCCTCCACTCACCATGTATTCATCTGTACTCTGGATCCTCATACCATATATGGCCTGACTGAGAATGAACTTGGAAGAATTCAGAAATTTTCACACATTACCTTCAATATTCGATTCTATTCAACAATGAAACTCTAGGTTTAAAATGTGGGCACAGACTATGCTTTAGGAAATTTTTGCTGGAAAGCCAAATGCCTGTAATCCAGGTATGGAAGCCACTTTGGTTTGGGTCAAATGAACTTCAACCACTTGAAGCAGATATTTCAGTGGCTGTGTGTCAGTCAGCCCCTAACCCCCACAGCTGACCTCCTTTGATGTACAACTAAACATTCTGAATCTTTGGCTGCATAATTCTTACCTTCAATGTGTTGGTCCTCTTCATTGGTATGAATACTCCTGACCATTCCCATGTTTGCCCCTGTTTCTAGAATTCCTGCTGGATGCTGCATGGTTCCAATGACTCCTTCAGGTTCAATCTGCTCCATGTTTCCTGGGCCTTCAGGGGTTTTATAGATTGAATCATTTTTTGCAGCTATTTCCACAAGCTGACATCTGTCCCATACTTCGGGTGTTTCATTCTCTTTGGGAACTGTTTGCAGAAGTTGAGACTGCTCATCTTCCCCCAGTGTTTCTTGAAGTTGCTGCTCTTCAGCTGTTTCCACAAACTGACTTCCTTCCAATATTTCTGGAGACTCATCTTCCTTGGGAACTGTTTCTGTCAGTTGAGGCTGCTCACTCCTTCCCACTGCTTCTTGAGGTTGTAGCTCTCCAGCTGCTTCCAGAGGGGCAATTTCCTCAGCCGTTCCCAGAGGTTTCATCTCCCTGACAGTTTGTGCAGTCTCAGGACCTTCCACTGCTCCAGGAGAGTCCCTCTGTCCTGCTGTCCTCAAAGGCTGACACTTGGCATTTATTCCTAAAGGTTCAGTCTCAGCATTGCCTTTTAAAGGCTGAGTCTCTGTCACTGCTTCCACGTCTTTCTGCTTTTCTCCTGCTCCTGGAGCATCATCTTTGCCACCTGGCTGAGGCAGCCCAGACTCCTTGGGCCCCTCTAGAGGCTGTGTCTTCTCTGTGGATTCTGGTGACTCTGCAGCATCCTTTTCCAGGAGCTGTTCATGGAGGGATTTAACACCATTAGCTGTTGACACCTCTGAACTCTTGAGTCTCTCTAATGGAGGAAGGCTTTCCTTTCGTATCTTGCCATGAAAAGTAGGTTCTTTTCCCAGTGTGCATGGTTTGGGTTGGGCAAAGCAGGACTCACTTTCTTCTGTGGTTGAAAAAGACATGTTTGAAGTTACTTTTTGATCATTCATTTGAAAAAGAAAAAGAAATAAGAGAATACAAATGATTGGATAGTTTCTATATCTTGAGAAAGTATATGGTTATCGAGAAGTAGTTTTAGTAGTTCAAGACAGTCCCAGGGACCACTGATCCTAAAGCAAAATGGCCTTCATGAAAGGAAAAGGCCTATGACAGAGAAGCCCCACTAGGTAAAGACTAAGATGGCTGGGAAGGAACTTAGCTCCCAATAATCTTGTCTGTAAAATGGCAGTGAATCTCCTTCCCACCTACCTCAGAGTTACACGGGGCACCACATTACATTAAACAAGGAACACAAAAGTGCTCTGGACACCTTACAATAACTTGGTAACATGTTCATACCCTTAGGCCCAGTAATCCTACTTGTGGAAATTTATCCTAAAAGCATAAATGTCAGGAAAATGCTTTTGGGAAAAGTATATCATCCCAGTATTCCTTCTAATAATCAAAATAACAACTTAAAAGTCTAATAATTTGGGGAAAAGATAAATATTCCACTGGGTGGAACAGTATTGTGCCATGAAAAAGGTGATTATGAAGCCCATATGCTACCATAACACAAGAATTATGATGTAAGTTAAAATATCAGTACTCACAGTTGAGTTAATCAAATGAAATAATCCATATAAAGTGTATGTTAGAACAGCGTCTGCTGTGTAAGTCGAGGCTCAATAAGTTAGCTATCAATTTTATATATAATTACAGCAACGTTTATCATTGGTAGAGAGGGAGGGAAGAAGGGGGAAAAACAAATCACAATAGAGGGGGAAATACAGCAAGAAAATAAACCAGTGTGTTAAAAAGGGGCCTCTAGGTGATATCCATCCTCTTCTTTTTTTCCCAATTATTGTTTTTCTTTTTTCTTGAACCTTTTTTCCCTAAGTCACCCTCCAACAGTTATATATGCATACAGTTTAAAGAGCTGTTTGCTTATTTAATGTAAGGTAAGATACACAACTAATACTCAGGTCTTCTCTCTCATTTCCTCTTCCCTAACAGCAAATATTTTAATTCTTTTAGCTGTTTTGAAGGGATACTTTTTTCTGTATCTCTAGGTGAATGGCTACTTTTTGATTTTTCAATTTGGGTATCTCAACTTACCCAGTGGAAAATGAAGACTTAGTTCTTTTCCTCCCATCTCTATTACGTCTGACCCTCTCCCACTATACACCCACATTTCCTTTCAATTCAGTATTTATATATTAATAATTATTTAAAATAGTAATCATGTTGTAATTTGGGTTATATCAATAGTCAGTTATATGTACATATAATAAATATGTCTGCTAGGAAGAAGTGAGCCATATGGGAAGCTATTACTTTGTCAACAATTTTTTGTTTTCCCTTGAATTAATAATTGCATTATTCGGTTCCTTACTTCATGAATTATCATTAATTCAACTCACTGCTAATTGTTTCCCTTCTTAAGAGATAATAGTCATACCAAATTGTTTCCCACCCTGCCTCTGGGGCTGGGTCTGAATCCCTTGGTGGAGAGGAATTAGAGCCAGAGGCTGGGAAGCAGCAAATTTTAGAAGGACTTTGTGAGCCCTGGCGGGGGGCCACATGACAGAATTGGGAGGAGGGCTATCCTTCACCTCCCCTTCCAGCCTCACCATGAATGAAGTTCTCAAATTAACAGCACATAAGGCAACTTAACAAAAGTCTCAGGTCTATAAAGAAATTCGTTATGACAGGGCAATTCATTTAGATATCACACAAAGGATGCTCTGGTGATGGCTGTCTTAGAAAATTAACCAGGAAATGTGTTAATGTACTAATCACAGATGTCTGCCAAATTATATTTTCTGGTACAACAGTTATTACAGTGATTAGTACTGCCAGTTAAATGAGATGAACGGTTTACATCCAGCTGTGCCAGCCGTGGGTGTATTCTAAAGGCATCATCCTTCCAGAGCAGAAAGCTGTGGGGAAAAAATGTGTCAACACACTCAAAACAAAGTCATTCCATTTTTAAAATATATTATGCTATTAGTCTGTAAGTCAATTTTCCCCCCAAAGCCAAAACTTTTCTGAAAAGTTGTTTATCCACAAATAGTATCATAAGAGTCCAAGACAGCTATCAATTTTTGCCATAACTAAACACTTATGCCATGACCACAGTACCAATTTTCACTTTTATGTACTTTTTCTCTAATCTTACTGGTATACTTGATATAGGGAAATGTCCTTCATTCATGGTGAGGCTGTAGTTTCATAAAACAAACTGAAAGATAGTCAATCAAGCTGAGAAATATTGAAAAAGAATGTCACTGTTTCTAATATTTTTCTAGAATAGGCCAAAGGAGATAAAACATCTTTAAAATTCTCGTACAGAAAAATAGAGAACATGCTAGAAATGACATATTCACTTTGTAATTTATATTGATTAACTGCACTCTGCCTAGATGTTGAAATGAATATATTTTGGATGTCATAGCTGTTTTTTTTTATTTTGGTATCATTAATCTACAATTACATGAAGGACATTATGTTTACTAGGCTCCCCCCTTTACCAAGTCCCCCCAACATCGCCATTCACAGTCACTGTCCATCAACATAGTAAGATGCTGTAAAATCACAGCTTGTCACCAAGTTCACAGTCACTGTCCTTCAACATAGTAAGATGCTGTAGAATCACTACTTGTCTTCTCTGTATTGTACAGCCCTCCCGTGCCCCCCCAACACTATACATGTTAATCGTAATGCCCCTTTTCTTTTCTTCCCGCCCTTATTCCTCCCTTCCCACCCATCCTCCCCAGTCCCTTTCCCTTTGGTAACTATTAGTCCATTCTTGGGTTCTGTGCTTCTGCTGCTGTTTTTTTCCTTCAGTTTTCTTTTGTTCTTATACTCCACGTATGAGTGAGATCATTTGGTACTTGCCTTTCTCTGCCTGGCTTATTTCACTGACCATAATACCCTCCAGCTCCATCCATGTTGTTGTGAATGGTAGGATTTGTTTTTTTCTTAGGGCTGCGTAATATTCCATTGTGTATATGTAACACCTCTTCTTTATCCATTCAGCTACTGATGGACATTTAGGTTGCTTCCATATCTTGGCTATTGTAAACAGTGCAGCGATAAACAT